CGGGAGGGCAGAGCATTTACAAGGAAAGACACAAATGACAACAGCTTTGGAGAACAGGACCACGGAGGAGTTTGCCCTTCTGACTTGGCCCTGATCCGTCTCTGTAGCTAGGCGGAGCAGTCAGGCTTGCTTTCACTCGGTGAGGATTTGGAATTCAGGGTTTTGCTCACCTGTTCAGGATTTTAAAGGACACACACAACCCAATCATTAGTTTTAACCATCCCAATTGCCCAACACCTCTCTTATGAAGCCTTTGCAGGACCAGGCTGTACCTGCCACCTGCTTAGTAGTAGGAGCTCCAACATGGCAGGCATCAGAGCTGGACAATTCTGCCTGTTACTTTTGAGCACACCAGCCTATCCAGCCCCATTTCCTTTGCCCATGTCACAACCAGAGCAGCATCCTGAGCAAGGGGCAGGGCTGTGCTAGAGAAAGGCTATTAGTTTAAAATCCAGGGCATACCCCAGCTGGCAGCTTCCCTAGAGCAAATTAGTCTGACCCCAGAGGTATTCCAGACACCATAATGTTAGGAGAAGACTGGCCCCCTTTATTCTTTCACATGCTCTGCTCAGAAGGGGTCTGAATCAGGAATTAGCTCAGGCACTTTCAACAGCAAATAGTGTTTAGGCCTAACATTTACTCCACTTTGAAACTGTTAGCTTGGAGGGAGGCGGCCCACAAACCCTTCTTGGGGTAGGTTTTTTGGAAAGAAAAGGGGGAAAAAAGTGGGGGGGAGCAATCCACAGTTACATCTGTCTCCATTTAAAATTCCCCCTACTAGGAGGGCCACTTAATGCACGGCCATCCTGACCAAGCGGGTGCGGTGAAGGGGCTGTGACCCACGACTTGTAAACCCAGCTGTACCATCCAAAGGACTGGCCGATAATAGGAGTTTTTTTAAGTGAGGTAGCCAGAGTTCACTAAAGCTCTGGCTTCACTAGAAAAAACAGCATGTAATGTCTGTGAAGATAACTGCACTTGACTTTTTAAACCTGTTAGCAGGCCCAGGAGTTCTCCAGCTACCTTCACTGGAAGAGAAACCGTGCTGTAGACAACTTTTATGGCATTCCCTCACCATGATAGCGGTTCCTGAACTTTTGAATAAAGTGACCCACCCAGTTATCTTTTTCGCAGTTTACCAGGGTCCACCTGTGAAAGAGGCCCCAAAACCAGAGGCCAGCATCCATGTTCCTCTCATCTTTTTCATCCATGTGCAGAATATTTGTAGGTGCTCCGAGGCACACGCGCATGCGCGCCACCAGTAGAAACAAAAAGACCTTGCTGTAGGGGCTCTGCTAATCTGCTGGGTGGTATCGGAATCTCTTGAACAGCTGCACAACTGCCCAGTTTACAAGGAACAGCCAGCAACCTTCCCCTCCACTATGCCCCAGCCTCCATCCCAGCACGGTGCAGAGGAGAACCTCCCCACCCCTCGCCGGGATAGGAAAGACAGAGGACCAGAGAGCAATCCTGCTCTGCACTGACCCCCATCCCGCCAGGCTGGGCCGGACACTCCATGCCAGGAGTGCATGAGGTGATGGCAGCACCCATCTGTGACAGAGGGGGCCAGTCCAAACTGGAGTGGTGCTATGACCCTCTACATTGGGCCTAGCCCCGAGGATACAGTGTGAGTAGCTCCCTCTGGGACTTCTCCACAGCAGGCCCACAACCTGTCTACAACCTGGTTGCAACCCACTGGTTGGGAAACACCCAGGGAGGTAAAGTCAAGGTGTATTGATGTGGACTTCCGCAGCTGGATAACACTGTCACTGGCTGCAAGCTAGCAGGCCTGGCTTTACTCCCCAATGTTGACAAGCCACGTACACAGAAAAACAAGACCAGACTCACCTACTGACAGTAGGACATGCCCATGGTCACTCCAGGTGAGCTCCCAGGAACAAGGCAGAGCCACCGTAGACAGCACAGATTCTAGGATCCTGTTTGTTTTAAGTGTCCCACAGCATTGGAGCTTTCCCATTGGCCTCTCTCCTGCTGTTCTAGTTCATTTTTCTAATTATCCCACTACTGCTGGCTACTCCACCTCCACTCCCTTCCTGCTTCTTGTTTATAGACAGCTATCCCGACGGGTCAGGGCAAACCCTTTGCAGGATACCCACGGCGAGCACGGTTTGAGAATGAGTCCAACAGCTTGTGTGAATAAAACAGACTTTAATAATGTACAGCAGAAATTGGACAGCTTGTTCTTATATTAAACCCAAGATTTCCTATATTACAATGTATTTACATTTGCATACTGAAGAGGTAAAGTGTCTAAGTGGCTATTTTACAGTCCTTTTCTAAGACGACATACAAATAAAGGGCGCAGAGAAGTACCCAGAAAGATCTGTTCTGAAGCCAGAGTACCATCCGTTCACCGTGTGTCAGAGACTAGAGGCACAAACTTTGACCCGAACTCTCCCCAATTTGATCCCATTGATCAAACTGAACCCCCCCCAGGTTAAACCAAAGGCCTAATTCCCTCCTCCCACCTCTTTTCAATTGATCTGATCTTTTCCTGCCCTGAACTGTTTAGTTACTGTATGCGGTTAGGACAGCTGGCGTTTCACTTCCAAAAAGGACTGCATCTCAGTGCCAGGCAAAGTGATCCCTAGGTTTGCTACAAGGCAGCTAAGTAAAGTTTGCACCCCTCTCTGGCGCACATACATGGAAAGTGCTGTATAAATGCTACATTGTTATTCCCATCTCAGAGGGTCCAGTGAGGGTTTGACTGCTCTGATCGGTACCTCGGAACTGTGTTTCCACCTCAGTGTGCCACCCCCCCTTCTAGACATCGGGGCCAGTACAGCTCTGGCATGTGCTGTTTGGCATGGTACTAAGGCAGATACATGTGTGGCTACTCTGGGGGGTGACGGAGTGGATCAACACATGGAATTAAATGGCTGAATTAGTGTCAAAGAAAGTCTCTGGACAGCGAATGGAATAGGAGACCTTGTTCTCCGAAGGGAGAATGTTTTAATGCTTATGGGACGACAGGATGGCAGCCCCTACTATTCAGCGTGATGGGCCTACGGCCATTGATTTCAGTCACTCAGATTTTCTCCTGCACAAGCCCCATCTTAAAGGTCCCGCTACAGTGGCTGAAGAGTCTAGTAGGTATTTAAGGCACACACCACCTTGGATTCTCAATGCAGAAGGTCTCAGTAAGTAACAAGTCACATTGGAGATGCAGTAATTTCTGGCTGAGAAATACTCAGGACAAATCAGAATGGGAGACTCCATTCACCAGCCACACATGCCGCTCCATGAACCCAGGGTCTGACAGATGCAGACCACTGCCGACAGGGATGCAGCCCTGTCCTGCCTGTCATTTAAAAGCAATGGGAGAATGCAAAATAGCTCCAAACACAAAGCAAAAAAAGACTCCTCATTTGAGGAATATAATCACAGATGGGATAGGAGGCCTGGGGGAAGACACACACAGACAGCGAGAACAGAAAGTCTGTAAAACAACAGCAGCCTGTGAGCCAGAGAAGAGATGAAAACTCACCTTACAGAGCAGGCTCAAGGTTTGAGTAGAAAGTTCCAGTGTAAATTCAGCTGCGTACATTTGGATTTTCCTTTTTTGCAGTGATTTCTTTACAAACAAAGAGGTTGAGAGGTAATTATAGACTGTTTCTCTTCTCTTATAAAAATTAACAATATTAAAAAAAGTTAAAACCCAGACCCTCCCAATCAAATAAAAAACAATCAAATGCACTCCAGTTAAAAGTTATGGCTTCAGAGTTACAAAGCGCAAACAACACCCTAATCATCATACAACCCGGGCTTCTAATGTTGCCTTCAGTGCTGCATTCGTTCAGACAGGACAGAGCCCTGGGCTATTTCTAACATTCACTAGGCAGCAATCAAATCAATTCTACTTCAACCTGATTGGTTATTCGATTAAAATAAGATTCATGCAGTTATGCCCTCCCATCCCCCACCCAAAGAGTTATACACAGCTGCTTCCAGAATACAAGATATTTATATATGTATATTTAAAAGATGGACACATTTCCAATCCCAGTGGTCAATGGTCAGATCCTGCAGTACGCAGAGTGCTCCTTGAGTGGTGCTGTGCACAACTGTTTCCACAGGCACAGAGCTCTTCACTGATCAGACCTGGAGTGTTCCTGACAAAGCGCTTTGAGACATCCACGGGTTATGTTCTAAAGAGGCAGATATCCTGCATGTCCCTGTAGCTTGGTCCCCTCCACCCAGAGGCAGTGCTGTCTCCAATCTGTCAGACACGCTTCTGTCTCCTTTGCATCCCTCCTGCAGACGGCTCCCCTGGCAAGGCCATCATTACATACTGCCAGACCTTAAAAACCAGGGTCTTCAAAAAAAAAACAACCTTGTTTCAGGGACAAAGTCAGCACCCTGTTTTAGAAAGGGGCAGGATGGCAGTGAAGCAACTTGACGAAAAGTTCCTGCAGCTGGTATACAACTGGCAGGCTAGAGCCCCGCTCTGGGAGAAAGAAGGATCTGGCTGTAAGTAGCCCATTCAAGCTAGATAACGCTCACTGCTGCACAGGGAAGGCACCAGCACACGTAGCTCAGAAGAGGACACTCTAGCTTTGCACATGCACAGAAAAAACACAAATAGGAATGTGCGACCCTACAAGCAGACACGCTGCACATCTAAGGGGAACCGAACGGCACAGAGCACACGTGACTTTGCACATGCATGCACTGCTGCACGCATGCACACACACTAGCAGCCACTCTGGCTTTTTTACTTTTTCCAAGCTCAAAAAAAAAAAAAAAAAGTTTGCTGAAGTCTATG